CCCACCCCCCCCCCCCCCGCCGGCCCAGGGACAGCCGCCACGTCCCTTAGCTGTGCCGGTCCTGAGGCATAACACCCGGCGTGCCCTCGGCCCCGTTCGGCCCCGTTCGGCCCCGCTCGGCCCGGCACAGCGCCTGCTCGGACCTGCCGGGCCCGACCCGGCCCCGCTGCCTCCGCTCCCCCTCGGGGCCCCCTGGAAACGCGGGGGTCGCAGAACCGGGGTCCTGGCTTCAGGACGGAGCGCCCAGTGCCACTGCCTCACTAGAAATCTTCACCGTCCCTCTCCGGTGCGCCTCCTCCACCCCTCAACTCCTCCCTTACCTACGCCCGTGGAGTACGAAGACAGAACATCCCGACTCCCTGCCCCGCAGCGGTCCGCAGGACACACTTTATTTTCCCTTTCGGTCAGGCGCGCCACAGACAGTTCCTGAGGCGGAAGGAGCAAGCAAAGGCCCCCTCGGGCGCGGGGCGGTGTTGACGTGTCGCGGGAGCGGCGGGGGGGCGTTAGGGCACCTTTAAAGTCCCGCTTACCTCGGACCCGCTACTGCCCTACAAAGTGTGAGTGGGTCGGCGGGCCTGGGCCGAGTGGGTTGGGTGGGTGGATAGGTTGGTTGGTTGGGTTAGTTGTGCGGGGTGGGTGGGTAGGTAGGTTGGTTGGTTGGTTGGTTGGGTTAGTTGTGCGGGGTGGCACCGTGTCGCTGCGTGACGCGAGGAGGCTGTGAAAGCCGGTGGCAGCTGTGGCGTTTAATGGTCATCCCGACAGGGATCTCGCGCGAATGGAAAAGGTGGTTTTCTGCCTTTGTCTGAAGCGAGAAGCGGTTTTCTGCTGTTACTTGACCTGTCGGGGTTTTTCTGCATCGTTTCACTGCCATGTGTATCTTTGACTTTCTTGTTAGGCTCTGATCTAGAGCTTAAACAGTATGCCCACATTTGTGAAAAGAGTTGTACCGCTGGCAAAATTGACATTTTAATCTGTAGTTGAATATCGAAGAGGGTTGCTTTTCAGTTTGCCCTACTGTTCACGTGATTGCTTCAATTGTAATTTCAGGTTAAGCGTGCCTGACAGCACACCTTTCACAGCTGTCTTGAAGTTTGCTGCAGAAGAAGTAAGTAGAAAGTGATGACGTGTTTGTAACTTCTGAACATTCCTGAAAGCACAAACTTTTAAATTGTAAAATACAACGGTTACCTCAGCACAAAGAATGTTCCTGTTAGATATGCATGGACTCAAGCTTTACTGAGGTCAGTGGGCACTGCCAAAACTGTTAGAATGCTAAATTTAGGAATTCTTGCACAGTTGGCATATCTACAGCTGGTTTTGACACACTTCCTGTTCTTCTTTGCAATTAAGTTATTTTTTCTCGGTAACATAAAACTTATGATAGTGAACAAAATTAAAGAATACTGCTACTAAATATTTAGTATTTAATTTTTTTGCATGAATATCCAGAAAATTCCTTAAAGTTATTCAGGAAATTCTTAAACTCTTCTCACATTCAGTTTTACTAATTTCTGTCTGGAGAAGATAGTTATTTGTAGAAGATATTGAGATTGGGCTAGATGCAAAAAACAGACTGTAAGTGAGTAGGACTTGGATAATGCGTTCTTTAGCTTCTGAGTGTTTGACCATTCACATGGAATCCAAAACTGAGAGGTGCCTAAATTGCCTATATAATGTATTTGAAGAGATGCGTACTGTTTGTTTCGGATTAAGTGTACAGAGAATCAGAGATGTTCATGTGGGTGTAAACAGTAAATCAAACTGCTCAAAAAGCATGATGGCTTTTTTCATCTAGTCAGCAAACAGATTCAGCTGAGAATCTGTTCTTGCAGAACAGATTGATCTTGTTCCGCTTCTGTGTTTTTAGGAAATCCTAGTAAATTTTGGGTTATTGAAAATCTCAATATGTTTTTTCCCAAATATTTTTAATCTGGATTAATACAGCTGTGCCCACATAACCCATACCTGGAGACCTAGAATGAAAAGTCCAGTAGAACTCTGGAGTGCTGTTTCTGGTGTAGTTGTGGGCTTCTTCCAAAAAAGACAGTCCTCTTCCCTTTCCAGTCCTTACAGATTCCTGTCACCTCCTGCATGCCAGATTAAGGTCTGATGGAGTTGCACACTGAAATATTCAAGCTGGATTGTTAATCAAGGGGTCTTTTGTGGAGTTTCTTTACTGTATCTGTCAGTTGGACTTGGTTTGTTGTCTGTATCAGGCTCACTTTCACTACTGCCATCTGCAAGCAGCCTAAGCTGATGTAAGGTGTGTTACCTTCCAAAACTGACCCTGGCTGCTGCTTTCTTTCCCTGTTGAACGTGTGATACATAAGACCCTTTTGAATATGTAGCACAGGTTGATCTTGGAGAGAGAGTGTGGGTTGGGTCTCAGCTATTTTTTCTTAGAAAAGATTAGTTTTCACAGTTGTTAATTCTCTAATCTGGAATCATGCCACTGATTCCAGTATGAGGGACCATGTAGACTGAGTATTTGGAAATAGTTCCAAAAATACATTGAGGGACCATGTAGACTGAGTATTTGGAAATAGGAGGCTTGATGAGACACTTCTGGTTGGAGGTTTGTCATGAAACCTGTTAACTTTACCTGCTAATGTAACCACAGTGGTAGTGATGGGGTTAATTAGTGAAGTGGATTTAGAGGAGAATTAATTACTTAAATGGCCACATTTAATAATCCATTCTTTTAGTTGATGTGAGTATTTTGAACATCTGTGGGAGTTCTGTTGATTGACCTCAGATCATTCTGGATCAGCACCTTTTTATAGAGCAATTGTAGATGTTTGAAGGCTGACAAGAAGTATTGAAAATGTGTGACAGAATGTAAAAGAGCACAGCATTATTAATGCTCACTAGAATAATTCCGTTAACTGTCTATAGAATAAGCAATTTATTTTAAAGAAAATACAAAGAGCGCTTAATTATTAAATCCCCCAGCAAACAGTTTGAAGTGCTTTTATGTTTGCCTGTGTCAGTGTTAAGTAGAAATTAATAACATGAACGTATGATGGATTTTTCAGATTGTGGCACTGGTTTTAGTTGTCACTGATGTGGTACTAAAGCTTTTTACATCTCTCTGAGACAAGGCAAAACTAAATGCTTTGTAAGTGAAGAACTAAAATGACTGTTAGACCCTCCCCCAGGAACAAAGCTACTTTGATCTTTTGTGAACTGGCATTGAAAAGAATGAGAGAGTTTTTGTCTTCTGTAAACATTTTCATGAACAGCATAGCTGAACGTTACTTATGCTCTGTATTGTGCTTCAGGTTAAGTTTCAGAGTACCTTGTACAAAACATGGAAGAAAAAGATTTTGGACAAAGGTGTTAGCTGGTCACTAGGGGAAGTGCATTATCTTCTCAGTGATTAAAGCTCTTGGGACAGAGGAGGATGTTTCATTTGTTCATCCTTAGCAAGTTTTTTCTGATTGTGTTTTCAGAGTTCTACAGTTTGAGCAAATCATGACCAGGATCCCCATGCAATGGTAGAACTGTAGCTGTGATGTATAATGGTCTTTGGTCTTCTTGTATATCAAGTTGGGTCAACAAGCCGAGGCCAATTGTATGAGGCTCAACAAGGCCAAGTGCTGGGTCTTGCACTTTGGTCACAACAACCCCAGGCAAAGCTACAGGCTTGGGGATGAGTGGTTGGAAAGGTGCATGGTGGAGAAGGACCTGGGGGTGCTGGCTGACAGCTGACTTAGCATGGCCAAGAAGGCCAATAGCACCCTGGCCTGCATCAGGAATAGTGTGGCCAGCAGGAGTAGAGAGGTGATCATGCCCCTGTACTCAGCACTGGTGAGGCCACACCTCAAGTACTGTGAGCAGTTCTGGGTCCCTCACTACAAGAAGGATGTCGAGTTGCATGTCCAGAGAAGAGCAACAAGGCTGGTGAAAGGTCTGGAGAATAAGCCCTATGAGGAGAGGCTGAGGGAACTGGGATTGTTTAGTCTGAAGAAGAGGAGGCTGAAGAGAGACCTCATTGCTCTCTGCAGCTTCCTGAAAGGAGGTTGTAGGGAGGTGGGAGTTGGCCTCTTCCCTCAAGTGAATAATGACAAGACAAGACTAAATGGCCTGAAGCTGCACCAGGGGACGTTTAGACTGGATATTAGAATTTTTTTACCAAAAAAAGAGTGGTTGTTACAGTGGGACAGGCTGCCCAGGGATGTGGTGGAATCACCATCCCTGAAGTGTTTAAAGGAAATATAATAAAGTACTTAGGGACTTGATTTAAGCACTGAATGGGTAAATTAGGTTATGAACCAGGATGATTCTATGATTCTATAAGTTTCAGTCACACTGCTTTGTCAAAGGTTATAGTTTTTCTAATTCCTTTTTTTTTTAAATCACTTTCATTGTATGAAAAAAGATATGTTGTTCCCCCGCCGTTGGTTTTTTTTTTTAATTGTAAATAACTGAGATACGTAACGGATTTTTTTCTGTCATCTCTAGCACTTTGCATAACACATGAAAATTGGTTGTACACAATTCACCACTCGCAGATCTGGAAGTGGAAAAAATACAGGTCCTTAAATGGAGAGGTGTCCAGAAGGTTCAATCATTTGGAGCAGTCTTAGCCCTTCCCAGTTTATACATTTGGCAGTGATAATTTGGATAATGCAAATTTAATGCTTTACTTATTTTCTATTTTCTCTGTTTATCTTAAAGACTGTATTTTAAAAGAAAAATTGAAATGTAGAGTGTTGGAAGCACTGCTTTCTGCATTTTTTTTCTATTTATAGTTCTTTCCACAATTGTCACAATTTACTTTGACAGTGATAGTGTTCTCAATCACAATGTGTGGGATGTGTTTGGTTTTTTCCTTCATGTGTTAGAGCTATTTGGTACATATGTCATTTACATTTACATCATACTAAAAAAAACCAAACCATAATATTGAAAAATTTATTTCCTAGCATTGGAGAAAGTAAGTTTTGTGGCAGCCTCAGTTACCAATTTTTAAGGTTTTTAAAGCAAACAGTCTCTTTCTTCAAAGAGTGTTAGTTTGGGGCTGGATGTTCTAAAGCTAGTCAGGGATTATCTACTAAGTACAGAATTTTGCTACTTGAGTATCCATTCGATATTATATCTCAGAAAACTTGCAGATTTACATACAGCCACAGAGTGGATTTTTAATTGAAGTAGTGAACCATATTACACCAAATTATGTGTAATTATTTTAAATGGTAATCTCTCTTTCTGTGTTATAGTTGTAATGATTTTCATGTGGTGAGTAGTATACACCTGACAACTATTGCTATTTGGCCCAGTATTTTGGGCTAAAATAACAAAATGTTTTGTTGTCATATAACACAATACATTATGAAGAAATATGAGAATCTTACCTAATGCTTCATTCACCCGTTGCCCCACAGTTCTCACATGCACCTAGTGTATTGGCAACAGATAGATACTACAGAAAAGCAAAATGTCAAAAAGTGAGTGGACATGTTAGTCCTCCTGCGGATGGTCTGTCCCTTTTGTGCATTGTTGTGTATCAGAAGAGACAGAAGAAATTACAAAATGCACTTTAAATTCTAGAAGTTACATTTTTGGGTTGTTTTCATATGATTTAGGACACAGTTGTGCTCTCAGCACAAGCAAGACATGAAGCTGTTGGAGAGAAGGGCCACAAAGATAATCAGAGAGCTGGAGCACCTCTGCTATCAAGACAGGCTGAGAGAGATAGATTGTTCAGCCTGGAGAAGAGAAGGTTCCAGGGAGACCTTATAGTGGCCTTCCAGTACCTGAAGGGGGCCTACAGGAAAGCTGGGGAGGGGCTTTTCATCAGAGAGGGTAGTGATAGGAGAAGGGGTAGTGGTTTTAAATTGAAAGTGGGGAGATTCAGGTTAGACATCAGGAAGAAATTCTTCACCATGAGGGTATGAAGGCACTGGAATAGGTTGCCCAAGGGGGTTGTGGAAGCCCCCTCCCTGGAGGTGTTTAAGGCCAGGTTGGATGAGGCTTGTGCAGCCTGGTCTAGTGTGAGGTGTCCCTGTTCAAAGCAGGGATTTTGGATCCTGATCTTTAAGGTTACTTCCAACCTTAACCATTCCATGATTCTATGAAAGATCATGTTAGCACTTACTTACAATGGAAACCTGCTTGCTGAAAAATAACTGAAGTCAAGCATATATCTTGCTCATTCCGGTTTTTTTGTGTCTTATTCTTTTACTTTTTGAATTGGAGATGGACTCAATCCAAGAGGCAAGACTTAATTTGATTGACGTGAATGCCACTATTCAAACCTTATAAATTAATTTTATCCTATTATGTAAAAAAAAAAATATTAAAAAAATGCAAAAACTAAATCTGTAAAAATATTTCTCCCTAGACTGCTAAGTGAATATTCCCAAAGCTAGTGAACTTGAGAATGAAGGCTTACTTTCTTCAGCAGATTATATGTATATATTAGCTGTTATGACATCTTATTTTTTACATTCTTACTGTTAAATCTGTAGCTCCTATTTTATCAACTTCATTATTCAAATCTTGCTCTGAAGACAAATTGTTACTTTCCTCATGGGCCTTCCACAATGACTGGTATCTAACTCATCTTTTGCAGAAATTACTGTTTTCATGTCACCCTGTATGATAAGGAGCTGACAGGATTTACCTGCTATGGATAAAAGGCTGTGAGAGAATAAATTAAAAAATAAATCTGCTAATTCTCTGTGTCTGGAGATAAGAACAGCCAGTTTTTTAGTATATTGATAATGTACTCTATTCAAGCATGGTTTCTGTGAGCTTTATCTGTTGCTATTAACGTGTAGTCTTTCTGCAGATCAGACATGGAAATCTTAAACTGAGCAATCAGAAAATGAGGGAAGCACAGCTAGTGCTTGGTACTGAAAGGCATGGCTGAAGTGACTTGTTCAGCAG